GGTTAAAGCGACCTGGTGTGTTCAAATCCTGGCTGCCTCCATCAGTTAGTTTTGTGACTTCAGACAACAGGCAAGTGGTGGTTTCAGTGGCTTCTGTTTCCCAGCCGCAGAGCAGTGGCTCCCAACTGGGGGATTTCACTCTCCCCGCGGTCATTTGACAATGTCTAGTGACACTGTTGGTTGTCACAACTCGGAGAAGAGGATGCTAGGCTACTAGCATCTAAAGCGTAGAGGCCAGGTGTGCAGCTAAGTATCCTACATCACAGAGAAGGATGGCAACCCTGCCCAGTCCATCCAGTACAAAGAATTACCGGCCCCCAAATGTCAAGAGGTGAGACTGCGAAACCACGCTCTAGAAAAAGGGGCCGAGTCTACTTTGCAGGGCTGAGGACTAATTGTGTACAATGCACATAATTAGCACAGCCCCTGGTACAGAAGTAGCGCTCAATAAATGGGAACTACTATTTTTATGACTGGATTTCCCCCAAATTAACAAAAAATTTTGAGTGGGGAGGAAGTGGTAGTAACAGAAATCAATTCTGCTGAATTTGGATTCTGGTGACTTACTGGAAGGGATCCTTGATCTTTGTGACAGCAACATGGGTCTTCACAGGGTCTTGGATGCCAGTTACTGATGGCATCCAAAGGCTCCTGATGCCTCCAGTTTTGGCTTTGGTCTCACCCCCCTGCTACTAGTTCAGAAGCATTCCTGCTGGATTATTCCTTGTCTCGTGTATATTCAGCTCTTTCTCTGGTGAGCATCTCCCTAGGGTTCAAAAGCACACTTAGGCTTCTCTCATTGGAAAACCAAAATCAAATCCCACCCTCACCCCCAGCCTGAGCCTCACACACTTCCTCCAGCTACCAGCCTTCTTTTTTACCCATGCACTTGAAATTCAAGAAATACCTGGACTCATTACTGCCCCACCTCCTCCTCTCTCAATCTCCTCCCATGTGGCTCCCCCCACAACCCCATTTCAGCAAAATAGCTATTGCCTCGACCAGTGTCCTCTCATTGCTAATCACCGACCTTCACTTCTCACCTTGCAGCACTCTGCTGCATTTGATGCTCCTGACCACTCCCTTGAGTATCTCCTCCCTAGACCTTCCTGTCCTGTCCTCTTCTGCTTCCCTCCTCCTCTTCCTGCCTGTCCTGCTCACTCATCCTCTTCTTCCCAACTGGTATTAAATAGAGATCTTACAGGCTTGGGTCAAGGCCACCTTCTCTTCCTCTATTCTTCCTGTTCTACTCAGTCCCTAAGCATCTCATCTGCTTTTAGATCTTCATTTATCTCCTACCCCAGAGACTCACAAATCCATCCATAGCCCCAATCATTCCTTTGAGTCCCCAAACCAAAACACGTACAACGGCCTGTTTGCTATTTCTGCTTGGTTGTTTCAAAAGTCCCTGAACTCAACACACTCACCTCTGATCTCACGATGTTCCCCATGAACCTGGTCCAATTCCAGTGCCCTTGTCCCATGAAAATGACCTTGCCATCTGTACAAGTGGGGAAGCCAGAAGCTTAGTGAATTTCTCCATTCCAACAGCAATCGGTGCCCAGGTCCTGTATCACCCCTGAATCCCCGCTGTCACCTCTCCTCCGTACGGACACCATGCCCCTCCCCATGACTGCATTCACCTGACTAGTCCCCCTACTTCTCCTTCGCTTCTTTACAGTCCCCCACTTCTTCCTGCAGCCAGACAGCTATTCAAATTACTTCCTAATCCCATCACACACAGCCATACCTCCTGGAAACTCTAGAATCCATTGCTCTATCCTTATCTTGACCCACAGAGCCCTGCATTGCACGGTCTGGCTCCGTGCATCTCCCCAGCATCACAGTGCCCCGTGCACCCCTCTGTCCCCACACTCCCTCATTACTGGCTTTCTGTCCCTGCAGCTCCCTGTTCATCTCCCCTCAGCTTCCCCACCGCCCCTCAGGGATGCCTTCCCTACGAGGCACTCATGGCCTGTGGTTCTCTCCTTTACAGAGCGTATAGGGGTTGTAATTGAAATCATACCCCCGTCTGGGAGCGCTGGAGAAAAGGACCATAAGCTTTATGAGGCCACTGGCCCTCTCTCATTTCACTCATCATATCCTCAGTACCTGCGCACAGAGCAATGGGAGTGACGAGCATTCAACAAGAAGAAGCCGTGATTATATCTCCAAGCAGAATCAGGCAGATGGCAAACTCTGGACTGGCCCCGGAGGACTGGAGGCAAACGTCATCCACCCTCACCGCCCGGCCCTGCCCAAGTGTCTTACTCGACTTGATGGGCATCACCTGGGCCAATTATTGAAAGAAGACCCAGGCGTGGGGGGATGCCCGGTAGCTCCATGGGGTTCAAATCAGCAGCGTTTTTCACTCCTGTTTTGACTGCGGGGATAGGCGGGCACTGTTCCTCTCAGGACCACGCTGAGGTCAGCCCAGCAAAGTGGAAGCCAAACTGTCCCAGACAAAGAGAGACGACCACCAACGTTTAGTTCTTGAATATGTATTTTTTACTGAAAAAATCATTCATAAATTAACATACAAAAATGTACAAACACATGAGTAAATAATGTAATGACAAAGGACTATTTTTTTTTTGTGAAAAGTGTTTTTTAAAACATCTTTAGATTTCAGTGCAAAAATGTACCCCTGGCACCTCTGAAAACATAAGAGCAAGCTCAAAAAACCGTAGTGATGGAAATAAGCTAGCTACGTTCAATGCCATCGTCAACGGTGAGTGGATACAATCAGTACGCGTGGCTGGCGCTTAGCTATTAACGTCTGCGGTAGAGGAGCTCTCACAAGAGTCCCTCTAATGTCGAAATGACTATTTTTGCAGATAACTGCCCCCCCACCCCGGCAAAAAAACAGCACGAAAGGAGAAACTTTAACCTGCACCCAGCAAAGACAAGACTGATTTAAGGGGTCATCCATCGGTAGCCTTAAAGAATTTCAGCTGCCAAAATATGCACAAGGTCACACGTGGTTCTTATTGTTTTTGGTTTTTTTTAACATGAGAATTTTACGATATTAACAGCACACAGACCTGGCTGTGTTTTCAGCTTTTACGTTTCCCCACATGATACCCAGCTCCGTGGATAAATGACTGACGTGCACAGTGAGAGATTTCACACGGATAAAACAGTCTCACACATGACTGCAAGGTGATTTAAGTGACCCTACTTCGAGCAGTGGAAAGAGACTTCTCTTTTTGTCCTCAAATCAGCATTTTCTTTTTCAAATCAGGTGTCAGCCCTTTGCCGACATTTTGTTCTTGGTGGTAAATATGTTAATGAAAAGCTTCAAACAAGATCATTTTACAACCCTGCTGAGTATACACGCGTCATCCTTGACCAAGAATTAGTCTGTCCTGGCAAATTCTTCCAAATGATATCATAGTTTTGTCACATTGAAAAGCAGCTCACAGCCCTCAGAGAGGAGGCAAGGCCCACACGCAGGCCTGGGGGTGCGCGGAGGAAAGGGGGAAAGAAATCTTTATTGCTCTATGCACCATGTGGCAAAGGAAAGCCAGAAAGAACTTGTGTGTCGTGTTCCCTCATGAAGGGCTTTTAAAGCATGAAATGCTCAAAACTCTTTTAAAACGTTATGATACAACTTACCAGCGTATTCAAGGACAGCAGTCCGCCCTCTCATATGAGCCGATAAGAGCTTTGCAATGCATTTTCTAAATAGCACTCTACTCTTCAAAAGGACAAAAACACAACAAAAAACAAGGCCTGGCCAATCACTCCCACAGCTTGTGGGGATCATATGTCCATGGAACCAACACATGCAACGGAAAGAACCCCAACCCACGTGTATGTACATGAATATCGCCCCTACACTCACGTCCGTGTAAACCATGAAAATCAAGGAAGTTGAAGGCAAACAAGGCAATTAAAAAAAATATGAAGTACTCTTCAGAAAGCACTCCTAATCACAATATATAAATATGCTTTATGGAAAAGGAAGGGGGGAACTGGCATTTTTTCAGAATTCTACAGAAGCCGAAAGGGGACTATGAGTTGAGGGGTTTGGCTCAGGGGAAAACAGAGGCACAGATTCAAATGCAATTCAGAATCTGACTTCAAAAAGCACATGGGGGTGTGAACAGAGCACCTGGGCTCTTGCATTGGGCAGCTTTGTTAGTCTAATTCCAAAGCTTTGATTTGGTCTAACCTGGATCTCAGCTGGCCCATGATACACAAGGGTCCCATGCTCCATGGCTGAATTCTTCATAATTCAGTTGCTCATTATTCTATGTACCAGTTCATAATGTTGACAAAGAATCTTTCCAGAAACCAAAGAAAAAAAGGGAAATATTCAGAGGAATCACTGAAGTTGGTTGGTAATTTAGGCACAGACTTCAGGAACCGTGGCCAAGTTCCACAAGAGGGAGGGAGGGAGGGAAGGAGGGAAAACCCAACATCCACACTCTCTTTACGACGATGAAGAGACAGACAAAGCCCAGGGATCCAGCGGCTGTGCACGGTGGGCCCACCTGAAGGGTTTGCTTCGAGCAGGAGAGCGGTGTTCTAACACATTAGCTTCCTGTTCGGCAAAAGACGGGGATGAGGGTGTACGTGCCCAGCAAGGAAGAGAGAATCCAGAGCCAAAGCCAGGAGCAAGAATTTTGGAAACGGGGACGGGAGGGGAAGAAGTTAGCTACCAGTGACAAAGACTGGACCATTTCGTTCTTTTGTGACATGCTCTATATCCACTCCCTCCCAAAGTGACAGCAATTTGGGACATGATTTTCTTCCATTTTAGCTGAGTTTCTGCATCTGTCAAACAAATATGTGATCTAACGTACAAATCCTCAGTTTGAATTGGAGCCAGCTATAAAATTAAATTTTAAAAAGGCATTTTACACGGCTTATTTACAATGATACTTCTTCAAGAAGTGATTGTTATATGTCTATTTATCTTCCCCAGCCCCTCCCCTCCACCCTCAGTCCCCACCCAAAGCAGGTAATTTTTTGTTTTGTTTTGTTTTGTTTTTAAATGAAACCAAAGAGAACACCAGAGATGTAGAAGAATGGTGTGTGGAGTTTCATTTTCTCTTCCTAAAACACCGCTGCCCGGTGGTGGGTTGGCCTCCTTGCTCTGAAGGCCAGGAGGCTCCAGCAGCCATTCGCAGGAAGAGGCTCGGCGGCAGGACCGTGGCAGGTCACAGCTCTGGTCCTGGAGATTGTGGCCGAGGTGGGACGCGGGGGTAGGAGACGGGCAGGAGAGCAGCAGGACAGACGCCTGTCTTGTGAAAAGAGAAAGTCAGTTCCTGGGCTGAGTCCCTCAACCCCAGCGGGTCCAAATGGTGAAGGCGTTTTGTGCGTGTACTCTGTTCACATTTTTCCCTTGAACCCTGTGATCCTTCATTAGTCACTGGATTTCTGTTCTCTTCCTCTGCGGAGCCCTGAGACGTGTCGTCAGGCTGCTTTCTTGGTGGCGGCGGGTGAAGCAAACATGTGTTTCCTCCTCCCCTCAGTACTCGGTCACCTGAGCCAGCTCGGGTGTCAAGTTGACAGTGATGTTTTTATACAAGGCGTCATACGTGATGTTTGCAAAGTAGTTCAAGTTGTTGAGGCCGTCCAGTCCTTGCCGCTCTTTGGATTTCCTCAGCAGAGCATACCTGTTTAAGCAGAAAAAAGAGTGGTGGCTCTGAGCGAGGGTCCAAGCTCCCTAGAACGGAGACGGAGCTGGGGAAGACCACAGGAGGGGGCATGACCCAAGGCGGTGCTTCTGCGCCCTGTGGAGGGCGACTGGTGGTTCAGCGCCTCCAGGCTAAACGTCATCATTAGAGCTAGAAAAACCTCCTGTTTCGTGCCAGGTGCATTACTCACCACACTATTTCATGTAATGCACCTGCCCCTTAGCAAACGAGGAAACCAAGGCTTGTGATATTAACTGGCGTGCCCAAGACCACAGAGTGGGGAAGTGGAAAGTAAGCTATAAAATGCATCAGATGAGAAAGTTCAGAGTCTGCATTCAGTGCCCTCTTACTCCCATGAAAACAGAGTTCACGCAGTCAGATCGGCTGTCTAGGGAACCGCCCTCCCCGCAATGAGCAAAAGACAGAGCCACTGGTGAGAATGCAGAGCACGCTCCGGCCACACGCCCCAGTCGGCCCAATTGATTGAAGGTGCAGAGGGTAATAAAGCAGCTGCAACCACACCAACAGATACTCAGGGACACCCTCCCAGAACCGGAGCTTGCAGAGACGGCGCCAACTCTTTGTCAGGGGACTGGGAGTTACACAGAGACCTTGACCCAAGTGGATCTTTTCCCAAATCCCTGACTGCGACAGAGGAGACTACAAAGCTTCAGGTGTAGAAAGAGTGGTTCCCTTCCAAGATCTTACTATCAAAATTTTCACCAATAGTTTGATTTCGCCCCCAAACTCCCACCGCCCAGTTAAAGTTAGATATAGGTAGGAACTCTAAAACAGCTGTCTGAACAAGACCTTGGGGAGGGGAGGGGTGGGGAGCAAAACAAGGGGCTGTAATGCTCTGGGACACCTGGAAACGCAAAGTATAGAGGATATTTGTATGAGGGATAAACAAGTGCACTAACCTTCCAAGAAATTGGACTTCTCCTCGATGGTGATAAGGAATGGACTTGTACTTCCCAGTGTCCCCTTCCGGCCGGCTCACAGAATAGCCTGCATTCTGTACTCTGTCCAAGACGAAGAGAATGAGCTTTAGGTAAAACGACCAAGTCCTGTAGGTGAACAAACCTATGCAGAGCTGAGGAACCCCAAGCTGGAAAACAGAACCTCTTCTGCAGCTAAATATTCAAATCGCCTACCCTCTGGAAAAGTTCAGGGTTTTAAAAAAGAAGTCTACAATACAAAAAAGTTTTGAAAAAGAGAAAAAAATTCAAAATTCAAAAAGAAACTCAGAATGCCTGAGGTCTGATGTAGGGTCTCAGTGACCCATGTGCATCCCATGCAGATGGGTGCACATGCTCCCTCTGGGCTGGCCTGTTTGGGGTCCTAGCAAAAACACGTTCTCACTGGTGGGTACCACTTCCTCTTCCACATCCTACTACAGAGCGAGTCGGCAAAGCCAGTCACCATGTGTTCTCCCTAATTAGGGAGAACTTATGTCTCCAAGCGCCTCCCCCCTCACCACAGAGATGAATTAACTTATATGACATCCTCTGATCTAGATGTAAAACTTCGCAATTTATGAAAAGTCTCTATGAGGGAAGGAGAATTTAAAGGAAGTGTTCAGGATATTTATTCTTAATATGAGAAAGATAAGACTTCCAAGATGGGTTTACTGGAAACTTGATGGGGCTCCAAGAAATACTAATACATGGTGGCAGGCTTATTTATGTGGAATTTGTGATCATTTCTTTATTTTAAAACTGTAGGGGGAATATTATTTCAACATCTTCCTTGACTCCAAATTATACTCTCATTTTGTTACACAGACATCCCTCAGTCTCCAGGTTGTGGGGTCTGGTTCCAGCACCCGCCTGGCAGATACCAAAATCTGTGGATGCTCAAATCCCTTAAGTAAAATGCATACTTTCTACTTAACCTACACACATCCTCTAGGTTACCTTAAGATCATCTCTAGATTACTTATAATTCCTAATACAATGCTATGTAAACAGATGCCAGTGTGTGGCAAATTCAAGTTTTGTTTTTTGGGACTTTCTAGAATTTTCATTTATTTATTTACTTTTTGGGCCACAGTTGAGTGAATCCTCCAGTTCAGAACCCGTGGATATGGAGCGCTGACTGTGTGAAGATATGTTCTCACTCTCATTTGACAAATACATACATGGAATGCCTACTGTATGCCTGGAAATGTGCGGGGTGCTGGGGAAAACCAGCCACAAGTTCTTGCACCAAGGGGCTCCTTGCTGAGCTAGGGAGAGTAAAGTGAGAACCATGACAGATGTTGTGGGAGAGCGCAAATAGATTCAAAACCAGTCAAACCAGTTAAATGTATGGAAAAGCTGTTCTTCATCACTAGGTTCCTAAGAAACCCAAATTAAAAGGATGAGATGCCATTTTTACCTTATCAGATTGAGAAAGAATTATCTGGAGGTGCTTTGCCTAACAGTAGCCACAAGCCACATGTAGCTACTGAAGGGCTGAAGTGTGGCAAAATTTCAAAAGGCTGTTTATATCCAATGTTAGTGGTGGTGTAAGAAAATGTGTACATTAATGAACTGTTGGTTGGAATCTTTCTGTAATCTTTCCTGGGGGAAAATTTGGCAATAACTATCAAAATTTTAAAGTGCATTTACTTCTTGACTCTGCACTTCCACAGCTAGGAATTTAATCTAAAGAAATATTTGCACATGTGAACAAAAGATGTTCAAAATTAAACAATGTTCATTGACAGGAGTGGATTAAAATAAATTATTGTCTAACTACATAAAGAAGTACCATGCACTGTTAAAAACAATGAAGTGCCTCTCTTCTTTATTAACATGGAGGGGATGTGTCTGGGTTGTTTAGGTATGAATAGAAAGAAGTAAATAGAAAGAAACAGCTTGTTCAAATGGCTACTTCCTGGGAAGGAAACAGGATAACAACAGGGGTTAAGACATACCCTTTGCTTTATGCACCTTTGTATTGTCTGAATTTCTACCAGCAAGTATTATTTTGTACTGATAACAAACACATCTTTTCTTTTCTTCTCTTTTTTTTTTAAAGCTGAGCTAGAAAGTGGATACAAGGTAGAAACTCTTTTGGTTATTTTGTTTCTTATTGGATTACTATTTACTTACTGTGTTAAAAATGCTAGTTGACACTACTCACACACAGCACTGTTCATACCAACATGTATAATACAAGCCTCATCTGAGGGCATGGATAAATCCGTGTACACATAACTAACATCTGACCTCTGGTTTGGGGAGGTTTCAGTGAAATGTACTGTATGAGTGTAAAATACACACCAGGTTTTTTTTTTTTTTGAAGATTTAGTAAGAAAAAAAATGAATGTAAAATATCTCATTAACATTTTATACTGATTACATGCTGAAATGGTCTATACTGATTATGTTGAGATTATTTTGGATATACTGTGATAATAAAAATACTTTAATGATTACATCTAATATAATAAATTAATTTCACCTTTTTTTTTTTTAACCTTTTACAATGTGGCTGCTAGAACACTGAAAATCACATACATGGCTTAATACATCATATTCCTATTAGACAGTGCTGGTCTGGAGAGTCTAGCATTTCTAGGAGACACCAGAAGAAGGGTAGTACCTGTTCCACAGGTCGTCATCTTCTCCACCCCAACCCCAGAAAGCATTAGGAAAGCCATTGATTTTCCGAAACTGTTCCACTGTTAAGCCGCTCACTCCGCCAAAGAACTCAGTGTAAGGAAGCCTAAAAGGAGATGTACAGCATCAATCATCTGTGCATTAAAGGGTGGTTTTTCCCCCAGAACAGGCCACCTCACTGAAGAACTGAGTCTTAAGTAAAACAATACTTTCTGTGCTACTGCCCTGAACCATCTGAGATTGTTTCCTCGGGCTGAGATGCATCAACCTGAGTAGCTAATTGAACTTCTTTCTAATTGCTTTTTTTTTTTAATAACAGCTTTATTGAGACAGAATTGACATACCATTTAATTCACCCATTTAAAGTATATAATGCAATGGTTTTTAGTATATTCAGGGAGTTGTGCAACTATGACCACAATGAATTTTAGTTAATTTCGTCAACCCCCCAAAAGAAGCCTTTGGTGCACCCACCATTAGCAGTCACTGCTCATTTCTTCCTTCTCCCCTCAACCCTGTGTAACCACTAGTCTCCTTTCTGTCTCTACAGATTTGCCGATTCCGGACATTTCATATAAATGGAATCATACAGTATGTGGTCTTTTGTAGCTACTTTCTTTCACTGGACATAATGTTTTCAAAGTTCTTCCATGTCACACATATCTGTACTTCATTCTTTTTTATTGCCAAACAGTATTTACTCCACAGTGTGGATATACTACACGTTGTTTGTGCACTCATCAGTTGACTGACATTCGGGCTGGTGCTAATTGGATTTTGCCATCTCTGCATCTCTCACCATCCTTTTAGAGTTAACCTCTTCAACAGGAAATGATACTCACAGATACATATATTTATCCAGTTTAGTCGCAAAGTGCCTTGGCATCTGTCCACATCCGTAATAGTTACGATCACTTTCTGGTATATGATCCACGTCATGAAAAATAAGACAGTCCCAGTCCAAGTCCTTCATTGCCTCTTGAAAACCGACGTTAAATAGCATGGCTCGATTAAAGGGGTGGGTGCCAACCTAAAAGAAGCAGGACTTTATTTATTGGGGGTGGGGGTAATTAGGTTGGTTTATTTGTTTGTTTATTTTTAGGTGGCAATACTGGGGATTGAACTCAGGACCTTGTGCTTGCCAAGCATACACTCTAACACTGAGTTACACCCTCCTTGCCCCAGAACTTTATGTTTAAAAGGACTCTTGAAGCACCGTCTTTGCCGTCTCAGCCTGTCTGAAGGAGTTTATTGAGAGCTCACTGAGCCAGAAGCAAGGTGGGTCCAGCCTGGCTTATCAATGACTCACAATCACTTGGCCTCTGGTCTTGATTGCCTCAGAAAAAAAAGGGGCGATAATGACAGACCAAAGCTCCTCTCTCCCAGGGCTGCTGTAAAGGCAGACAGTCAGCCACACAACAGCATTTAGAAGAATTCCCAGGCCCATAAACGGAAGGAAGAACAACACTGCCATTTCCTACCTGCGGCTCCTGATCTTAAGGGGAATTTCCTGGGTTTGGAGCCTAAAGACACCACCCAAAGCAGCTCTAGCAGAACCAGCACGCAAGAGGCCTCTGCTCAAGGGTAAACAAGGTTCCACCTGGCACTCAAATCTGCCGAAACTGAGCAACATCTCAAACCAGGGGCACAGATCGCTCTCTGCTCCCCTCCCCGCTGCACGGTGCCTCAACCATGAGATTTCCATTTTCCTGGCTCTTTACATCGAGAATAGATTGGCTTGAAGCATCCCAAACTGCTGTCTCAGAAGAAAGAACAGGGAAGAAAGGACCACTCACTTGCTCCACCACATAAAATGCAAACCGCAGGCGCTGGCGCTGAAGCATGGGAATGAGGTGTCGGAGCAGGACTGGGAGGTGCTCGTGGCGGTTCCGGAAAGGGATGAGGATGGCCACCTGCAGGGGGGTCGCAGCAAAAGAGGCCGCCTTGTTAGTCCCCTCAACTGTCGCTTTATGGCAAGGCACTCCTGCAGAATCAGGGACCAGCTCTTGGGGAGTTCTGGGAGCTGCCTTGTCCTCAACTTCTCAAAATGAAGACTTGTGTTGCAAGTTCACCCTTGGAAGTAAGTGGACCTCGTTCTTACATGCACCACACCATGTACACAGAGGGCCTGAGGATGAATTCAAGACCACAGCCCAGAGGAAGACCAACATTCTACACTGTGACCCAGTACACAAATATACCCACAGAGAAAGAAACACATAACTAAAACACACTTTGCAAAACAGAACTTCCCCTTAAAACGTGCAATGCATTTACACACACGCGCATGCACACACACACATATTTTTTAATGCTGGTCATTAAATTGGTTTTACATCCCAGTGGTAAGTTGGAAACACTAAGCTGTTCCAGATATGCTTTGATCATTGCTGTACCACAGCAGCTCACAGGGCTGGCACAGAATAAGCACTTTACTAAATACTTGTTGAAAGAATGGACTTAAGCCAGTGTTATAACCTTGACTGAGCCACACTACTGATGTCTCCTGGCTACAGTCACACAGAAGAATACTGAACAATTCTCAATGTCAGGCTAGGTACAACAGCAGCTGAACGTCTCAAAGAGGAAGGAGGAAAGCTGCTGAGCCTGGGGCCAATTCCACTTTTTATTCCACTGAACTCGTGGCAACAATGCCAAATAAGGCACGAAGCACTGACTTTGTGAAGATGGCTTCTGCAAATGTGTCACAAGAGACCTACCACCCCCTGCCCACTCTGCCTAGCCAAAATTCCTGTAAAGGAAGAGAAAGGGTCCTGCTCAGTCACCAGAACAATGAGAACTTCTGTGGCTGCAGAAGAGCCCTTGGGGAAACCCATTCCAAAATGTTCCCATCAAATGCATATTCTCTGCATTAAGTAGTAAGTAGGGTGCAAATTACAAAACGTCATGGGGAAACCCAGGGTGATCCAGATGATGGCAAGTCCCAGGTAGGCTCCCCAGCACTTGGGGCCTGGCCTCGCCCCCTACCTTCCATCGAGGCAAGCAATCCGATGGCTTCCAGTGACCTCCAAGCTTGATGGCTGGGTCTTTAGAGAACATTTCATGGATGGCATCCATTCCTATTTCACTCATGTTTATGTCTATCGGGCCCTCTGAACAGAGAGGGAGAAAAATACTAATTAAGAGGCCAGAAAAATGTAGATTCTTTCTATGTTCAGGGTTTTCATCTCGGGAGCAGATCAATGGTTTTTCAGCAGGTTGTGTTTTTAACAGGGATGGGGGTCCCTTCCTCCGCTTTCCAACTCATGGCGTTTCAGTTCGTCACTATTACTGGGCAAAGCAGCAAATCAAGAAATTAAGACTTCAGAGTTCTGCTTCTGCCAAGGGTGTAGCAAGAAATTAAGACTTAAGTACAACAGCAGCTGAACGTCTCAAGGAGGAAGGAGGAAAGGAGCCAAGCCTGGGGCCAACTCCATGTGCTCCTGAGGCAAGTAGAGACACACTGTCCCAATTCACTGATCAGTGACCCCACTAGTCACATCCAAACTAAGAACACTCAACATTTCTGACTCAAGTCAAGAAGAGGAACCATCCAAGAAGCCCCAAAATACAGAAAAGGCATAACAGTGCAGTGCCATTGCTTTAGATTACAAATGAGACTCCAGGCAGGAAAGGAATGGAAAGGGGAAGGGGAGGGAAAGAAGAGAAAGAGAAAGAAAAGATCCCAGAATTTTTTTTTAACCAGCACTTTGTTAGGAAAATAACTTCCCCTCACGTCAAACAAGTTATAATCAGTGTGAGATTTATACTAACAGACAAAGCTGACTGGCCACACTTTCTCTAGGACATCCTAACAGACCTCAAGTTACACAGGAGGGGCATGTGCAAAGTAAAGAGTGAAAAATGTGGTCGAAAATGGCACCAAGAACACAGGCAACCTTGGGGAAGGGCTGAAAGAAGAACCAGGACACAAGTATCTTTCATAATCCCTGTTTTCAACGGCCGGGAGATGTTTATAATCACTGTGTAAGTGGACATAGTGATCAAGAACATCCTCCCATTTATTTTATTCAAATAAAAGGACACAATAGTTTTAAAAGCAGAGGAAGATAAGCAAGAATTCTACTCACTCATGGAAGGGAGCCTTTCGGGGCAGGTATGGTTTGCAAAGTACGTGAAGTCTTCAGGAAGAAAAGTCGTGGTTTGTAGGAAGGTTTCGCTGTGATTCAAGTCAAGAGGATAATCTAGAGACGTAAGGAAAAAAGGCAGCTCAGATCGGTACGTCATCAATTCTGCAGTTCTTAGATGCCGAACTGTTTTTCTCAGGTATCTTTTGTGGAGGCAGGATGCTGGCCTAGCTCTTTCCTGTAGCTAAAATTTGAACCCATCAATAAAAATGTTAACCAGGTGATACTTTTTTAAAAAAAATTTTTATTGAGGTATAGTCAGTTTACAAGGTTGTGTCAATTTTGTATAACACTATTTTAACCAGTGTTTATATTCTTCCTGCTACTATAGCTTTATATGCAGTTTACAACAAATAACCCTACAAGGTAATGGAAAAAACAGAGCCTCCTGTCTTTCTCTAAAGGAACAGTTTTCACTTCTTTTAGCCAAATACCTTCATATTTACTTTCATCAGCTTTTTTTTTTTTTTGAGCATAATGTTTAATGTAAGGTAACAGTGGATGGGCAGAGCTGGTACAAGCCAATCTTGATGATTCCGTTTTAGGTCTATTTGCTGACCTCTCACTCTGAGGGATGACGGTTTCACTCCCTTCCTCCCTCACCCCCACCACACACATACCCTTTCCATCTTCCAGCCTCCCGATAGTCAAACATGATAACTGCAGTCAGGATAATCTTCAGTATTTTACATTATGACAATTCAGTAAGTACTGAAAAATATGGGAAGTTATGACTCTTCCTTTCCTGCATATTTTTTTTCCTACAGTGACTGTCTTGTTTTCCTGTTTGCCTAGTTCTATGTGGAGTAGTGACAACTCAACACCAGGCCCCGTGCGACCTCATTTCCCCTTAAGAGTCACAGGCATCAGGTCTTTCCTCAGCTTCATCTTCCCCACGGTCCAGCGCCTCCCGTCCCACTCCGATGGGGACGGGCTTTCCTCTGAGCCTGATGGACACACGCTGTCCTTGGACACCCCCCCCCACTCCTTGGAGGCCTGGAGAGTCCCTCCATTTCCCTACAGCAGTGAACCTCATTTTTCCTAAGTTCAATTTTTCCCTTTTTCCTCACTTGGTAGAACACATGCGTCCAGTGGCTTCCTAAGAAGGGGGAATGGGAAAGTGACTTTGAAACCCTGTATATCTGATTGCTTTTATTCCTCCTCAGTTAACACACACATTGGTTAGTTTTACAGAATTCTAGGCTGGAAATAACTTTTCTCTAGAACTGTAGTGCTGTCCCACTGCCTCCTAGATTCCCCTGTGCCTGTTAAGTCTGAAGCCTTTCCAATTCCTGATCTTTGTTAACGGTGACAGAAATTCTTTCTGGAAGCGTGAAGAACGTTCTCTTTGTGTGGGAAATTTCACATTGGTGTGCCACGCTGAGGCTCAATTTTCACGCACTGTGTTGAATATTTGGTGAGTCTTTAAAGTCTGGAAATTCATGTCCTCCTCTTCTAGACTTTCGGGATGGGGAGGAGGTACTATTGTGCTGATGACCTCTTCCCTTCGGTATTCTGTGCTCTTTTTCTGGGAAACCAAAACATGATTTAGATGTTGGACCTCCCAGTCCTATAATTTTCTCTCTTTTCTGACTTCCCATCTTGCCATTTTTCTGCTCTCCCTTCCCTGATGTTCCCTCAGTTTTTCCCAGCCCTTCTTTTAATTATCATGACTGCTATTATATTTTTTGTTTCAAAGACTCCCTTTGATTTTCCCTCTGTTCATTTTTTATAATATCTGGTTTCATGCTTGGAATCCTTCTTCTCTTACCCTTGAGAACATATGTGATAGTTAAGTTCCCTCCTCCCAGCAGTCTGTTTCTTCTAATTTGCTGCTTCTTGTTTGTTTTGATCTCTAGCACAGTGATCCTTGGCCATCTGCTAATATTTAAGAGGGAGGCACTAATCAGCTAACTGGAAGGGTTTGGACTGAGGTTCTTCATTGTAGGGTGTTCTGGCCAGAAGTTTGGTTTGGAAACCTCCAGTGTCAATATCTTTGGGTCTTTCCTCTTGCTCCAGTCTGATTCCCCAGAGAAGTCTGTTTTAATCTCTTGCCAGAATGGTACAGTCTTTGCTGCAAGCATCCTAAAATTGAGGAGGAAAGAAAGGCTGGGGCACCCTAAACCAAGCCAGGTGTCCCCAGTTGAGTGACCCTCTGTTTTACCACCTCTGGAAGTAATTATTAAGCCCCCAGTATTTTGCCAAGACGGGGAAAGGAAAGCATCTGACTGCTTTTTAAATAGTTTTCAATCAACCTTTATCTCAGTTGCCATCTTTACTCGTATCTTCAAAAATATTTGATATTGCTAATTCCTGAGCTTCTGAGGGATTTTGGGCTACAAACTGGGGTGACTGTTGGTCTTCCCTGCTGTCAAATTAGCAGTCAGTTTTCTTGGGTCTGTTAAGTCCTTTATCACTAGTCCATCTGCTTCCCAATGTCCACAATTTTCTACTGTGGTCTCCTTTCTTATCCTCTTTGGGTTTTGTTTTGTTTTGTTTTTTTTTTAACTTTTTTTTAATAAGCGTGCTGGGGATTGAACCTAGGACCTCATGCATGCTAAGCACGTGCTCTACCACGGAGCTATTATTACCCTCCCTCTTTGTTATCTTCATTTTTAAGGGTTTATATCATTAATCACACACACACACACACACACACACACCTCTTTACTATCATTTTAGTTTTAAGAGTGTGAAGCAGGTGTCTTTTATTCCTCGGGAACTCTATGAAGGGAGCTGTCCAACCTCTTTACTTTTTTACAGATAAAGAAAGTGAGGCACCATCTACACAGCTCGTACAAGGAGACTTGGCTAGTGCATGACAGAGACCCAGCTAAACTCTGGGCTAGTATGTTTCCATTACACTGCACTGTTTTTTTCAGAGTATTAAAATCTCTTTCACCAGTCCTTTTGGATTCATGCTGATTCTATGAAAATTAAAACTTCCTATTCAAATTCACTCTGCACCCTGGAATTCTAGAATCTTCAACTCAGATTTTTTTTTTTAAAGCACTACGAGAGGGTTTCCAAGCATCAAATGGCTAATACAGTGAATCCTTTTATACAGACACATGGCTGCCTATTCTAGAAGGTACTCAGAGGACAAAACTCAATGACAGGCGACTTGAAGAGAATTTTAAATATCGTAACAGGGAGGAAAGGAACAGAATGCTTTCTGTCCTTTTTAGTTGTAGCTTTCCTGAAAACCAGTAAGCCTGCATTCATATAAAGACATAAGCCATGTCAGCATTAACACTACATTTACACAGAAATTTTGCCCAAAGTCCTTAGTTCACAAATGCAAACCTATCTAACCCAAGTTGAGCCTCTTCTGAAGATATTAGCACTTCAAAAAGCTATGTCAAGAACTTCCAAAACTAATCATTACTCTTGATGATTCTGATTTTGCTCCTTAATTATACAGACATATGCATTTTTTTGGTACATAAAATGATTCTCTTTAAGAAAGAAAATTAGTAGTTTTCATGTGTACTAGGAAACGTATGTTTGTGACATGCACATGTGGAGGGAGAAGCTGGTTAGAAACAGCATCACAGTAATTACATTTGCCTAGAAGGCAAAGAAATCCCCAGAGGCATTATAATAAGCATTTTCATAAGCAAATCAACAAAAACAATAATAATTCTAGGCAATGACAGAACCAAGCTTTAGAGCTACAAGCTAAACAGGAAACAAGTAAAAAAAAAATGTCTGGGAGAGGAGACAAGACACTTTTCTAACCTTAATGATCCTACTTCGGGGGTTTGTCTGAAGACACAGATAAATTCCTTTCCACTTCCTTCCAACACTGATTCAGATAATAAGCCTGGTGGCAGCATGAAATAAACACTGCTTATTTTTCCCTTCTGATTACCAAATTAATAGTCATTAAAAAAAAAGAAAGAAAACCTCAAAATCACAACTCCTGAGTGAAAGTCCTCCATAACCTTGCCCTACACCTTGGGAGAACCACCCTCCAAACCCTAATTTCTTTATTTCTAATTTTAACTTCTTCACATAAAAACTTGAAATCTACTTCCTCGCTAGCAGTAGGAGCCTTTCAAAGTGGAAGAGGCAGAGGAGATAAACTGCTCACGACCTGGTAACAACTGTGCCTGGCTGCTGCGGGCTCCTAGCTCTGCTCCAGCTGCTGAGACATGGGCGAGCTACACTGCACTCTCCTTGGGGGTCCCAAACACCAACTTCCTACTCTTCTGAAGCACGACCCTGCTGAGTGAGGGAACTGCTGAGCAAAAAACCAGCTTGCTGGATTTCCAAGGCTACGGTTTTACTTTCTAATTGAAATCTAATCTATTACAAATCAGGATGTGTTCTTCCAGCAAGGGAGGTAAACAGACAAAGAGGGCAGCTGCTTTTACATCTGCCATGTGGGAAACACAACAGACATCCTTCCTACCTACAGGATCATGCGGCTGGCTCAGTCAACGCTGCGTTACACCAGTGGTTCAGCAGCCTTGGTCACATGTTAGAATCATCTAGGAAGCTTTTAAAAATCCTAATGCCCAGGCTACAAAGTAAGAACCTCTGGGGGTGGGGTGCAGGCATTGGTATTTTGTAAAGCTCCCCAGGGGAGTCCAACGTGCACTCAGGCTGACGTGGTTGCCCCAGTGTGTGGCAGTGGCAAAACTCTGCTTTCTCCCTTATATCACCAAATCCAGCTGAGGGGGGACTAAGAAGTGCTGACCAACAGATTTCAGGAATAATCACCACTTTCTCCTCCCATTTGAGAAAAACCCAAACACCTGCCTCTCTGCTAGAAAAAAAGGAGAAATTTATATATACTAGAAAGATGTCATCAGGACAAGTATTCGTAAAATATAAAGAATTGGCATTCTTCAAGAGTTAGCATGTTTAGAGAGGAGGGTGTAACTCAAGTGGTAGAGTGCATGCTTAGCATGGGGTCAATTCCCAGTATCTTCATTTTTAAAAAAATTAAATAAATAAACCTAATTACCTCTCCCTACAAAAAAAAAAAAAAAGAGAGAGAGGGACAGAAAAAAAGAGCATGCTTATGAATAACTACCTGCTGGGAGAGCAGACATAAAGACAACCAGGGACTGAGCACCTAAAAATCAGAGGGAAAAAGGTTAAGAATATCTACCTCACTGAATATAGTACAAAGCGTACCAGCAATGACTTCTCGTTCTGTCTACAACAACAGCCCTATTTCAAAGGATGTGGGCAACAGAACGTTTCTCTGAGTGTGTGACCAGAAGGGACTGGGGCCATCAGTGTGGGGAGGTCTATGTGCATGTGTACGTGTGGACAGAGGTAACAAATCTCCCTGTGGTTAAAATGACTAGGTAGAATGGCCCCTGGAAATTCATGTTTTAAGATGAGAAACGTCAGGCCACCTAACCACTCACCTCGTCTATAAAACTATGTGGCTGGACTGGATGAACCCAAAGAATTCTCTTCTGATGGCAATACTGTTTTGAGCGCCTCCCCCCACCTGCTCACCGTGAATTTTGTAGGACTCACAGTCTCACATATCAACAGCTTTCAGTGACAAGAAGCTTCTCCAGGTCATTATTTCAGCCTTATTTCCAGGCTCACAGTCCTGATCCCCCAAAGCATACTCTTCCTAGACCATTTTAGCTTTCAAGGATAAAGAAAGCTAGAATTACTTAAACAACATACCAAGCTTTTTAGCTACACTTGGCCTCACAAAAACCTCTGAATGTGGGTGTGTGCCATGGCATTTTTTCCAGGGTTAGGCAACACAGCTCACGGACTACCTCAGTCCAGGCTACTCTTACCAAACCCACGGTGCTCCCGGTGGAGGTGGCTGGGTTAGATGTGATGGTCTCCTGGCTATGTCAGCAGCTTCAGGATCCAAATGCTCTCTCTGTGCTAAGCAGAAAACTACTTTGAAATGAATAAAAAAAGTTGGTTTCTACTGGATAGCTTCCAATGAAATGACGCTGCTTCTTTAACACTTACTCATCAAGGAGGTGCCAGTAACATAGAAGCCAATCAAGCTGGTAATCTCGGAATTAGGTTACAACACTTATAATGTGTTTTCTTGTTCAATCTATCTACTCATGCACTCAAAGATCATTCACTCAGTGCCTCCTGTGTACAAGGTAATGAGGTTACCTTGGGAACCAGAGGTTAGCAGATCCCAACCCCACTGCTGCATCAAGTCCTGTAACTCCTACGTGCTTTGACCCCTTCATTCCTAAAGTGCGGACATGGTAGCTATCTTTCTGAGTTCTTTGAGGATTCCACACACAAGCAGTGTCCAGCATACTGTAAGATAGGCCCTAACGGTACAAACTTCCAATTTACCAGGAAAATACATACACTAAATGCAAAATGGATGATTATTCCAACCACAGCGATGCTGGGAAGACTATTTTAGTGTCCGATAATTTGAGAATAAACACACACAAATTCAAATAATAATGGGTCCCCTGATATTCCTTCCAAGGGTGCAACCTGCTCTCTGCTCAGCTTTCAGGGAATTAGTGTGATCCTGTGTTGCAAGACCAGCAGATGTGGGGATGGAGACTAGCTACGCACCCTCTAACTCTGAGAGAAAACAGGCCACCTCACCAACTGCCCAGAGAGAAGCCCCAGCATCATCTGGCCTTGGGGAGGCACAAACACTTAGATCACACATGTTCCTTTATCCAGAGTGATACAGGGGAAAGGGCTCCGAATGGCAGTCAAAGGACTCTCTAGTTCCATCACACAACTAGACACAGGTTTAGTGTAGGACTGAGGAAAAGCCACACGACTAGCCACTCCAACACCCCCAAGATTACTTGTACATGTGAAAAATGGAAGTAACAAAAGCCAGCCTATCCAACAGAGCCATGACGGAGCCAAGTGAGACAACAAGTGTGGGGTCATCTGCAAAACCAAATGTTACATGTGATGAATTAGAAAACAAAAATGTGCTCAGCCTTCTCCCTTGACTTCCGGAATGCCAGGGATTCCTCTTCCAGGTATGGTGCAGAGCTCAAGCAGTTTGTCCTGTGAGACCACAATTTGGCTGAAAAGCTCTGAAAAGTTGATCACTTGCTCTTTGCAAACAAGAAGAAAGGAAGTACCAGAGCTTATCAGTTTGCTAACTGTAGTCCTTGGTTGCTGCTAAGTTGGCCCACACGGCAGACGGACAAATTAGGACGTGGCCAGTTCTCAGGATTTAACTTCCCTTTCAGAGGCAATGCTTCCTCTTGAGATCCCAAGCACCACAAATTGTTGTTGTTGTTGTTGTTGTTGTTATTATTATTATTATTACTATTATTATTATTATTATTAACCCAAGCACCAATAATTCTCATTTGCAACATTTGCAGAGCAGCTACACACTCTACAATGAGTTCTGGACAATCTTTGAACTTACTAGAGAAAAAGAGGACTGATTAGGAGGAAAGAATATTTTTGAAAATATACATATTTTATAATACTAGGCTTGAGTGAAATCAGTAAGAAGACACAGGGAAAGCACATTAGTCCTCAGTTAAAGTCCTTAGTTAGAGAAATAAGTGGCAAATCATAAATACTTAGCAAAATGAAATCTCAGACTCTATTTTCTAAATAAAAACCATCCCTAGCCAGAGACTGGAGAAGCCCACGACAGTCCCATTTAACCATCTGGAAATACTTCCTATGTTCAATTTTTGGAAGTGTTAAAAAGGGAGACATAAAAAGACAGCTTCCTCTCAAAGGTGAGGAACTTGCTATGTATATAGCCTCTCATAAAAATAGTTAAAGTCAAAGCGATGATCCGGGAACAAGCTCTTACAATACAAGCCATCTAACCTCTGTGTTCTTTTTCCCTCTTTGTATAATTAGTGCTTGTATGATAATAAAAGCTAGAGGTGAAAGTTCCAAAGACTGAGGCAGAAATGTTCACTCTTGGGCCCATCATTACTGTTTAAGCTGAACAGTCTGAAAAGCTTTCTTCAAAGCTAAATGAGTCTGACCACCAAACTCAGGCACGTAGCTGGAATTAACCCACGGGATGAAAACCACGCCTGACGGGGAAGGTGAATCAGGTGATCTATTCGATTTTTCTTCCAGAAGTCACTTTTATAATTTGTGGAAATTGTCCCAGATTACATGACAATTATGAAATAGAAATCTGTTAAGTTTCAACTAAAGCATTTATAAACAATGAGATGAACAAGTCCTACTGGGCTGAACAAGTTCAAGTAGTGTCCAAAGGAAGAACAGAGTTGGAGCAACTTCCCATGTGACGACCAGGGCCAAATTAGCTTTGAAAACACCGTCGACACACCACACCGCTACCACAGGTAACGCAAAAAATAAAACAAATCTCATAACATTAAGCCATGAAATAAGTGTAAGGCCAGTCCAACCAAGCTCTGTTTTCCCTCGTTGGATGTATGGATACATTTTTTGAAATCAAATTATTTCCAGAAACAGCCTTTGTTGCTTCTGTTTTGCTGATGTCCTAAAAAATACATGCTTAGATCTGCCTACCGAGGGCAACTATAAGGAAAAAAGCAGTAGTCCTTACCTCCCGCTCTCAGAAAAGCATTAGGGGTGAAAATGGCCTTAACTTACGGTCAGCAAAATCAACAAAGATTCATTTTGCAAGAGCTTCTTCTTTGAATAATGTAAAATTTATTCCCCTCTTTTACAATGCACTCTTTTTTTTCATCAAAGATAATTATTCGAACCAAATTTACCTATCCTGGGAGGAGACATTCTGAGCAGATCACCTCTTTACTCAAAATATACCTGAGTCATTTACGCTGCTATTCCTCTTGGCATAAGCACTCCGAACCACCTGCTCGTACACCTGAGCGCCTATTGTTCTCATGTTGTCCCGGATCAGAATGCCTTGAGCTTGCATCATGAAGAGGTAGGTATTCACTGCAGAAAACAGGAGGGGAGGGGAAAAAGAGAGGTGAATTCAAAGGCAATCGTTCAAACAAAACACACAAAAAACCCACATCACTTTGGGTTTCTTTCTTTTTTTTCTTTTTCAAACCTCTTTCAGCTCTAAAACCCTACAAATGCCACAACTCTATTTTCCGCACCAGGTTTTAAGTTTTCAGGGCACCAATGTTCCTTGAGCAGCTAAGTAGGGTTTGCGGGAATTTCTGTCCATATTTAGCAGTTTTAGAAAAACTGTAAATTAAAAAAATCATATTCCACCAGGTCTTCAAACACCTAATCTGTATTGTAGGACTGTGATGACTGGAAAGATCTTTATGGATCAATTAAGACCTCAGGAGAAAGATCTCTGCTCTCTTTAAGTTCACATTTGCAATACTCAACGGCTATCCTCAGGAAAAGGAAACCACTGCCTTAGATGTAGGTCTGGTCCTGGCTATCTTTCCAAAGCGGTGGACTAAGGCTCCTGCTACTTTTCTTTGCAATATTTGGAGAGAAAAATAAGATAATGAAAGAATATCAGTGGTCCTCACTACCCACCCACCTCAGCCCCAAAGTTCAAAGCAATGGGAAAGGAGCAGGTGGCTTGGTCCAAGTGTCAGTTAAAACACATTCCCTTTAAAATACATATAAATATTGAATCATTATGTTGTACACCAGAAACTAAGAGAATGTTACATGCCAGTTATACCTCAATAAAAACAAAGCAAAACAAAAAACATCGTAAGTGATTATTCAAGTTAACTGCCTAATCTTCATCATCTTTGGAGAGTGAGCTCCCCTTGGGTTTTCTTGAAATCTCTCTACGACATGACATTACGGGATCTCAAATATAAGCAAATATAATTCCTGTACTGAAATCTCAAATACCATCTATTTTCAAGAAATCTTACAGTTTAAAACACAGCTTCTTAACCAGCCATTCTAAATTTACTCATGTTCCCCTCACCACTGTGAAAGGGGGATGTCTTACAGGGATGGCATATTTATAAATCTAAACTCTGGCATGTGTCAGGGATCATCTGAACACTTGGCTAACTTCCAAACAGGCCCCAGGCAGGTATGCAAAATAGAGAGTCTGGGCCACTCCTCCAGACTCAATACACACGGCCTTGGGCGGTCCTGGCTCTTCAGCAAGACATTTTGTGAACACTGTTTCATCATAATTATCACAGTGTCCTGCACGTAATGGGCAGTAAATAATGATTAAATGGATGAAGCTTAGAAGTTAATTTACTTTATTTTCAAGCTATGGTGTTTGGTGCCTGTTCTGGTGATGGGGGTGGGGACAGGGACAAAATCACTCTCAATGTGGAAAATCCCAGGTGGCTCACATTAAACAGGAACATAAAATCTTTCAAAAGACTTCAAATAATCTCTAAGGTATATCCAGAGCTACAAAATAATAAACAAAAGAAGTCAGTGTTCAGAATGCTCTCAGAAATGAGGGAGCAGTCTCAAATTAGGCCTGGAAGCAAACGGAAGATGACCACATGCTTAACTTCTGACATCAGATACAGTGTTTATTCTCTGTAGTTAGAAAAAGTTACCAAAAAATAAAAAAACACACAAAAAAACACAAAAAAGCTTAAAATCCTTAAAAAAGTGTGATGCTGTGAAGCTTCTGAAAACAAGAGTAGCATCTCATTTTCTATTTACAGCAGAAAGCATGGTGCCCAGTCACAACAGACAGGCAGCCCATGAACACCTGTGAAACCTAAGATTTAAATTTCATCCAGTATCATGTTTCTAATGTGGTTCTGTAACTTTTTAATCACTTAGGCTACATATTATGTGTATTATACATACTATATACAACTCCCTTGAAATCTTCCTTCCATCCCCAACATATTACTACACTAGTTGTTTTCAATAATATAAAAACAAGTATTTATTGAACACTGTGTGCTAAGCTATCTGGTAGGCATTGCAAAAAACACACTACCTCCTTTCCCCCAAATTTCATCTTCTCCGAGCTTTTTATCTTCTACACTACAAAGCACACTCTTGTTAGCTCCTCTTTTAAAGCCTCTCCCTTTCTTAGCTCCCAACTGTAAGACTCCTCTAGGGCAGCTCTCAAACTTTTCCCAGCCCATCACTTGGAGAGCTTTTTGAAGCCTGCTTCTAGGCTCCATCCCCAGACGCTCTGACTCAGTAAGTCTGAGCGAGGCCTGTGAATTTGCACTTGGAACAAGCTCACGGTGATATCAGTGTGGCTGGTCTGAGGACCACGTTTCCAGAGCCACTGCTCCAGGGAACTTCAGCTACATAATAAGTAACAGTGAGTAACATTTATTGAGTACTTACTTACATAATTCTTTCTATCTCACTTAATCCTCATATCCTAAGAGGCAAATACTACTACCCAAATGAGAGTCAACTTCTAGGCTTCAGTTTCTCCACCGAGCTTCGCCAAGGTCAATGAGGGATGGACAGGAACCAGATGTACCTTCGCTTTAACCACTTAAGCTTAAGAAGTCGCTCATCCATGTTCTAGCCATAACGTGTTTCTCAGAGATTTCAAGCATTCACGTGGCTTAAATTATTACTTTAAAGGAGACAGCTCTCAAATCTTTATCTCCTGCACAAAGCTGCCAGATGGATCTTTCTTAATTACAGATTTATCCGCAATGCTCTTTCTCTTGCCTTCATCCCTGGGCTTTTGCTGATCTGCAGGGCTTCTGCTCTCCTTTCTGCCATGCAAATCTCATTAATCCTTCAAACCCTAGTTTATATATTTCTCCAGGGTTCCCCTTCTCGTATTTCTGTGGTACTGTTGTTGAAGACTGTCGAAAATTTGCCTGTTGTTTACACCTTGTTTTAGTTTGCTAACAACTGTCTCGTGTTAGTCTTGTTACTCAACTAACAAATTTACACAAACCACATATTATTGATGATTTTTCTAATTATTCACAGGAATTAGCACAAGGCTGAAAAAATAAAAGGCTGAGGAAATAAATTTTGCCCCAAATAAGAGAATAATCACAAATTCATAGATTTGGGATTGGATGGGATTTTAAGGAATACTTTTCAATACCTCCGCGTATACCACCACCCAAAACCTATGCCTTCCAAGAACACAGAGTCAGTATGTGAAACACAGCCATCTTCCAAGAAAATTCTACTTTGGGTTGGGTTGAAAATGTTTTCCAGTTCCTTTTACCCACTAGCCCTGATTCTGCCCTTTGACAGAACAGTCAAATTCCTTTCCCACACTTCAGATATTGAAGACGGGCATTTTCAACCTCCCTCCACCCTCACCTCTATCCCAGCTAACTTTCCCCGCACCCCCAGGCTAGACAGCCCCACTTCCTTTGTGTGTCCCTCCCTTGGTATCACCACAACTTCCCTCCCCATCCTGGCTGCTGCCCTCTGGACACCAGCCCTGTAGTCTACACTTGACAAAGAGTGGTGCCCATGCTGACGGTGGTCCCGGTGCAGTCTGCTGGGCCCAGAAAGAAGCAGAACTACCAGCAGCCCAATTCCATCTGCTACCAAAGTATTGTCAGCTTGAGGCCCCTCTTGGAGATGCACAATAACTCAAGGCCAAAGAAATCCTTCAACAGAGATGTTCAATTATCTAATCTGCCATTTCCCAAACCAGCTCCCTTCCCCCCACATAATATAACCCGTAGCATCAAGTGATTCTCCGCAGAATTCGCTATGGGAAATTCTCTTTTAGATATTTTTATTAACAGAATTTAAAACTTCCATTGCATGCATGGTAGATAATGGATAACTGCTGAGTGTTACTGGTAAACAGCAGTCACACCATATTATTGATTCATGTTAAGCTTGCTAGAGGCAAATCCTCAATCTTTTTAGCCGCTATAAGCTACCCTTCTCCTGTTCTGTGCTCATGCAGTTAGTTAGTATCCCTATTAAAAGTCTTATTACTAAATTTAGCCCAGGGCTCTGGCCTAACGTAGGAAGTGTATATATGCACACACGCTTTCAACCTAAATGATCTCATTTAAAATTCACATCTTTGTGAAGTAGATATCATCTTGATTTCTTATTTGAGATAAGGGCATCAAGTCCTCCAGAAGTCACTTACCCAAGGTCATATGGTTAGTGAAGTCAAAAACAAAGAGAGGTGAGGTTAGGTGTTCCATAACATTTTGATGAGCGTTACTTTGAAAAACGGTACTTTCCAATAATACGGTCCTGATCAACTGTGGCTGAATCACAGCTTAAAAACACATTTAAATTGGTGCATGGTTAAATCCTCCATTGTGTCAAGTACCTACTGAGCACCTCCTTTCTTGGGTGCTTCCTACACACAGGACTCGGCTGCTGGGGGTCACGGATGAACAGAACAACACAGAACAAAGCACAGGCACAATGGAACAAAAAGGTGTAATGCAGTGTGATAAATGCTAAAATAACATTTACTACAAATTCAGGCTTACTTTACACTTTCAAGAGAAACTGTAATAATTATCCAGCCCCCTAGCAATTCCTTCCTATCTAGACTGAGGTATCTCTTATGATCATAACTCAGTTGAGGAAAAAAAGCTCCATCCAGGTCTACATAATTGGAAATTTCCATCCAGATGCCAATGTAAGCAGCCTTGGGCTATGGCTTTAACTGGAGAATTTCCAGGAGCAAAGCACTGGGTCTTCTAACAGGAAGACAGACTCTCTCCTCTCCATCAGAATTCCAGCCAGCCTCCATATTCTTACAAATTCTTATGAATTTCCACTTGCACACACACATGGATAAATGACTCTGACTCATACAAAATTCCTCACAAGATAATGAAATGTGACACTCCAGATTAGGAGCAAAATAATTTGACACAATGAACCCAAGAGGAAAAGACAATGACAAGACTCTATATACATAATAAGTTCATAATGTTTTTTATCCTAAACATGTGTCTCCTTAACGTTTGTTACATCTGGCTTGTTAAGCTAAAAGAGAATTAAGAAGTGGAAAAAGAAAGCCATTCTTTTCCTGACTACTCTTGAAA